AGCTGGGGGGTCCGGACAGCCAGCTGCCCTGCCCTGGGATTTGCTCTTGAAGGGAATGGTTGGGCAGCATGAACCAAGCTGATAGCGAGTACATCTGGGCATCTGCTGTCAGCTGTGAAAAGTTGCCTGTCGTTTGTGGCAATGACATGCTGTGTTTTGCAGAGCTGTGGATCTCTCTGGAGGAGCACCAAGATGCATTAGAGCTTATCATGAGCAAATACAGAAAGCAGATGTTACAGCTTCTGCAAGGGAGAAAAGGTGAAGATGCAGAACCAGTCTTGAAAGTTCATCAGGCTAATTCCTTGGTAAGGTGGGATGAGGACAGAAAAGGGCTCAAGACCTCTCTTCCCTCTCTCTTGTTTGCTTTCATACAACCTTTGCTTCCAGTCATGGAATGTTTCTGCTCCAAAATACAATTTTCTGAAACTGTTGTCTCTCCTGGCTGGTATTTTTTTTTTTCTGTTCCTTTTAGAGCACACAGGTTGTAGCAGTTATCACAGAGGATACTGAAAGGCTTATCCCTCTCATGACCCAGGTGAAGGCTTGTTCTCTGTGCACTTGGTGGTAAATTTCCTGGGTTAAGCTTAATGCACATGATTCTGTCCAATAAAGTCAAGATCATCAGAGTTAAGTAATTACAACAAAGGGAGAAGTATCTTCTAAACCTCCGTGAGCTGCAGTATGTTTAATTTTTAAGAAATTATCACTCCCAAAGGATTTTAAATATGGATACTCTGTGTAATGGCCTAAAAGTGTCTTTTCCTCTGTGTTGGGTGCAATGACTTCATAACTCTGAGGTGGAACTACAGATAACTGCTGCCTCTTTCATGTTCCTATGTCTAATAACAATACAGTAACATTACCTCTCTACTGTAGGCTTATGAATTAAATTAGGCATTCATGAAAATGCATTTTTATGTGTCTAGAGAACAGCAAGCTGGTTTGATCTAGTGACATCTCATATCTTGTATTTGTTTTTTTTTCAATTGGAATTGGAGCCAGGCTAACTCCCTGCACTTTTATCTTTGCATTGATCTGTGCAAATAATTAATTTTCCCTTTTGTGTAGCTTGGATCCTCTGGAGTTAAGAAGTGTAGCATTTTTTTTGCTTCAAGTGCTTGCTTAAGTGTGTGACTTGCACTGTTTATCAAAACTTAACATTTGAACAAAACTTTTGACATTCTCTTTTGCTCCATTTTAATGGCATGGAAATGCAATGCTGAAGAGATTGTGGAGGAACCTTTGATGAGATATACCTAGACTATCTCAATATCTTGGCAAAGTCTTCTGTACTCCAAATTAAGTCAATGAATTTTTTTCTACCCACCACTTAGAGAGTAGTAACAACCTTTAAATACCTTCTAAAGACCTACACTCTTATTATATCCATCCTTGTGTTTAGAAAAAAATATTATTTTTTCCCAGGTTAAGTTCTCTAAGTCTTGTTCCTCCAGCTCCCTTCTAGATGCTCTAATCTGTTTACGTATTTTCTGAATAATGGAATTCAAAACTGAATTCTCTGCTCTTGTGATATATTTATCTTCCAGAGGCAGTGGAATAACTACTGACAGAGAAGAGAAACTCCAGCCAGTAACATCTGATCTTATATTTTTGTTACATTAAAATGATTCAAAAGCTTCCAAAGTCTTGTCTTGCTACTTCTGCCAATTACTGATGTTTTTGTGTTTGCACATTTGAGTTCCCCCCTAAACGACATCTTTTGAAACAGGATGCTCTTCAAACAAGAACTGCTGCTACATTATACATTGACATTTTTAGTTTTCATTATACTTGGATTTCTGAGCTTCAATAAAATGCATCTCCCAAAGGATTAGAACTGTATCTAAACAGATTTCAGTAAAAACTCCTTCAGGAGGCTCTGGTCGTACTTATTGTAGTTTCCTTGCTTGGCTTCTTTCTGAGATGAGGCTGTTCACATCACACTGTTACTCAGCCTTTAAATCCCATGTGCTTTTATATTTGACTTAGAAATTCAGAATCAGGCTTGTGTAATAAAGCAATATAAAATTTGCTGCAATCTAATCACATTCACATGAACCTGAATGTGTTGTCTCGGTTCTCGTCACACTTGAAATAATTTCCATTTTAGTAAAAGTGCCTTCTCTTGCTGACAGATGTCATTCTATTCATTGTTTTCATTGATGACTCATGACAATGGACAGTAAGGTACCTGTTCTCATCTTTAAATATTAAACAATTTAGAAAAGATTGCAAGTGCTTGGGAGGAAAGGGTTAAAATTCAAACCAGGAAAATAAACTAAAATAAAGAGAATTAAAGTAATTTACTTGGAAGGAATAAATTATAGCTGCTTCTTTTGCCTGAACATACTGACTGTTACTTTTATGTCTTTCAGGAAATTGAGAGTCAAATAGACAGAATATGTGAGATGGGAAAGTTGATGAGAAAAGCTATTCAAGTCGATGACAATCAATTCTTTGAAGTTCAAGAGAAACTAGCTCAGCTGGAGGTAAGAACAGATGCAATTGCTAAGACCAGATCAAGCTTTGGGGGTCTCCAGGCTTACTCTGGACTTTCTGTGTATATCTCAGGATTTATAACAATAAAAAATGTGGGGGTGGGGTCAAGAAATGCAGAACATGATCTGTTCCCGATCTTTGTATTACATATATGAATCCAGAAGCAAAATCTAAGCTTTAAAAGAGGTGGTTCCTCTCTTGCTAGTAGTGTATTAATGCTTGCATTGCAAAATCAGTGTTTTATTTAGCTATGAAGGAGTGGGGCTATTTAAAGATTGTTATCCTTTAATTGTGAATTAATTTCTTTTATAGCCCTTTAATTGTGAATGAGTTAATTTTTATTATAGTCCTTTAACTGTGAATTAGCTCATTTCTATTTCAGCAAAAATGTTGATTTTGCAGCTTGAAAACAAAGAGCTGCGTGAACTATTGTCAATCAGCAAAGAATCTTTTGATGTGGGGAGAGAAGATCTGCTGGACTGTGAAGCTTGGGTCACAAAATAACCTTATCTCCAAATTTTGACTTCAGAGACTATTGTGAAGCTACCCAACAAGGATAGGCTTTGATTTGTTCTTTCATTTGTTTCCTTGTATGTTTGTTTTGTCTTTCAAAATGTGTGGGCTGTTTTCTCTGCATTTTTCTGAAATTACACACTTTTGATATCAAAGGCTTACCTTGCTGCTCTGTCTTAGTAATTGCAGCACACAGACGCTTAACAGTGAAGTATTTATGATGTGTGCTCTCTTGTGATAGTTTATTTCCTCTCCCAATTGTTGTTTTTATGATCTCTAGTTATTAATTCCAACTGTGCATCTGGCACTTAAATCTACCTTGTCAGTAGCTTGAGAATAAAATACAGCCTGTGATTATTTGATAGAAGGAGTAAGAGATTATTCAAAAACTACATTGTAAGTGGTAGGTGCACATTTTGCTCTGCCTGCACAAAGCAGGCACACAGAGCTTATGTTTTGCTCTGAGGAGCTGACACTCATATTTGGCTGGGTTAAAGCTGCTGTTCTGACACCTGCTTAGAAGGAAAGCAAGAGAACAGCAGAAAGCAAATAGAACACTTGAAGTAGTAACTTGTATAAGGAGCATAGTTTACCTCGATTTAGGGGTGAAAATCAGAGTGGATGACCCTGACACCTGTGCATTGTTGAAGGATGTTGTGTATCTCACCAATTTTTTTATGGGTAGAGCGGGTCTGTCTTCACCAGTGCTCCAAAATATGTGGGCACAGGGCACAGCACTCTCAGATCAGAGCTCTCTGGCCTCCCACCACTTTGGAGTTCAGGAAGAGTGAGCTGAGATCTGCCTCAAAACTAAACCCAAACCAGTCATGCAGACATGTTTTTAATGTTGCATCACAGGTAAGTCTAGTGAAAGATGTCAGTAGTTACTGCAGAATCCTATATCAAAGAAAATTATAATTGCCATGTTGCAGAACTTTATCAATATTGCGATAATTTTAATGGCATTTGAAAATAAATATTTCTGTCTCTCTTACCTGTGATCAAAGAATTATTCTCTATTAACAGTAAACATCTTACTTCCATTATTAGTTTAGAATTTTATGCCACTTTTTTCCCCAAGAGAAAATTTTTATAAATGTAGAAGGTGATTTATGTTCCTGTGCTTATTAAAGAGACATTTTCTTGCAACCATTTGGACTATCCAGCTAGATTATTTGGGAGATGTAAGGGATTTCTGTACAGAAGTGTGCTTGTATACAATTATTTTCTATTTGAAATTAAGAGGGAATAAAAAAACCCCAGCAGTATTTTCTCAAGAGTATTCTCTTTTGTGAATCCTGGGGATGATTCCATTTGTTCTGAGCATACCTAAGCATTTCACACTCCTTCTCATTTCTACCTTGCCTGAATGAGATACTACAATGACAAAAAAAATTGCATTTTATTTCTTAAAATTAACATTGTCTGAAAGGCCTACAATGATGCAATTTTACCTTAATTGTCCTACTGTAGGTAGAATTCCTCTAACTGTACAGCCTGAAGAAAATGGAAATCAGACAGCAGTTGCTTTGACTAATGAGATTATTAACTTCGTGGGCCATAATAAGCAGGGGAAATTTAAACGTGTTCCATTTGCTATTGCCCTATTCCGTATCTGTAAGTAGGGAGACTGAAATGTAAATGTGCGATTGCACACGATTCTTACGGGTTACTCTGCCTTGTTAGAAAAACTTGCTCAGCTTACGTTGAAACGTGGGCTCGAGCTCCAGGACTGGAATTTCTGCTCTGACTGTCCTCGAGATCCAAACCCGAAGCGATTGCCTTCAGCTCGGTGCGGCCTCAATCCAAAGCCGTGCTTGTCTCCAGTCCCGGAGGCTCTGCCCGCCGTGTGCCGGGGCACC